AGGGGGAGAGGGAGAGCAGAAAAGAAGAAACCAGTTTGTGAGTGTAGATTCATTCAATACTCATAATGTATAATATGAGTTCACTTTCCTCCTCCTAGCAAAGACAATTGGCGTGAATGGTAGAAATGGCTCATGAAGAGAATGTTACATGTTTTTTCTTGCTTTGTTGGTATGCATAAATAATAGTTCTCTCTTTCACTCCCCCTCTCTCTCTCTCTCTCTCTCTCTCTCTCTATATATATATATATATATATATATATATATATATATATATATGTTTATGTACATATATAAGTTTAATGGTACAATTGTTCCGTAACTCATGCAATCGACAATAGGATTGTATTGATCAAAAGTACTTAACAAAGTTAACTAGGAAGCGGTTCAAAATGTATAAAAAATGGATTAGCAACACATTGTTTCCTATGCATTCTACATACTTTCAAGATATAATTCATTTATTGATCCAACTCACCTAGTACATGTTAGTATACTTGATTTTGAACGACTGTTTGAGTGTGAATAAGAAGAGTTAGTGATACAATTTAGTACCTCAAACCAAGGTGAATGAGGTGGCGTTCGAATCAGAAAGTCATATGTCTTAATCATTGAGACATTCGCTCTGCTACTATGGATAAAACGCAAATCATGAACTAGTAGAGAGATACAACGCAGAACTTCGTACATAAGTACATCAGTTCAAGTTGCCATACCACATCAGCACAGAGACACAAATGTCAGTTAAAATCCAAGAGTGATAGCAATAATAGAAGTATAAGCAGTAATGGAGAAGATTAGGGAGCGAAGATATGATTCAAGAAGTATAATTCAGTGAGATAAATTTAGAATGAGAAAGGGATTATAAGGAATTCAGAAGGTTAGAATTTGAGAGAACACAAAGAGTGGATGCACCTGCGCCATTGCAAACGATTTTGAGCCATGTCGTTCAAGGTCTCTAACCATTGGTGACTTTCGTCTCGCGGACCCCAACCACGTAGCCTACATCTACCAACATGACTGAGTCCACTTGTCAGTGACTTCATGGATTTCTGGCATGTTTTGTCTTAGCCGCCCCTAGCTTTCTTCCAATCTACTCCTACACTGCAAAACATAGCTCGTCGCGGCAGTCGGTGGTTAGCCATACGTAACACATGTCCCAACCACGTCAAATGATGAAGTTTCAGTACTTCATCTATTGATTTGCCATCCCTACCTAGAACCCGTTTCCTAGCAATTGCATTGCTTGTACAGTTGTCCCATGATACACGAGCAACGCTTCGGAGACATCGATGATCGAAGACTATTAACCTACGGAAGTCCTCTACTCTTAACGGCCAAGTCTCGCATCCGTACAGTAGGACGGAGCGAACTGCTGCACACTACACTCGTCCTTTAGTCAGCAAACGGATATCTAGCCTGCGCCATAAGTGACGCAGGTTGGCAGAAGCCAATCGAGCCTTCTGTATCCGAGCTAAGATTTCGTCAGTCACCAGGCCATCAGCACTGATGAGACTCCCGAGGCGATCGACACACTCGACTACTTCACTCCCTATCACTAGTTCAGGTGCCGATGAAACCCAGTCTTGAAGCAACACTTTGCATTTCGAGGGGGAAAACCGCATCCCGAACATGCTTGCATTGTTGCTTAGGGTGGTCAGAAGACTCTGCATTTTGTCAGCATCTTCACCAAGTAGGACAATGTCATCGGCATATTCTAAGTCGATAAGCGAGCGAACTAATCTTAGTATAATAAGAAAATTCTGAACCTATGATGATAGAATTCCTTAAGGTATACACTGAAATTTTAATGTTAACTACATGATTCAAATAAAAATAATACATTTTCGAGATTTACTTTTTGAGACAACTAAAAGTTTCAAACTTCCCTCGGCCTACTTCTATCTGGGAACCAGATAGTATTTTATTAGCTCACATATAAGAAAAAAGATTGCACCTACAGTATATGAACATTCACTTAGTCATTGATTTTGAGATACTGGAATATAAATTCTTTCGATACCAGTTACTTAGTTATTTATGCCTGTAACCCTGCATGGAGCATAAGCCGCGAGCTAGTATTGGCCAACCAACCCTGTCCTAGGCTCTCCTTGCAGTTCTAACCAACTTCTACTTAGTCTTTTGATGTCTGGCTCTAATTCTCAGAGTAGTGTGTTCTTCGATATACCTCTTTTTCTTTGGCACTGAAGGTTCTCAGTTAGGGCATGCCTCGCGGTACAGTTGGGTGAATTTTACAATGTCCTATCCTTCACCAGCTGTTTTTCTGGATATTTATCTCAGCCGGAATCTGCTTTTTTCTTTTCCATAGTAGGTTGTTGCTGATGCTATCTAGTCAACGGATTCTTAGTTCATCTGCAAAGTCCAGATCATCCAACTGCATCCGAAATTCCCACTGTATTCCGTGCTTCCCTTGAGATTTTGAAGTCTTCATAATCTAGTCAATCGCCAGGAGAAAGAGAAAGGGTAAGATTAAGCAGCTTTTTCTGATACCAGTCTTCACTTGGAATGAATCTGTGAGCTGTCCTCCATGCACGATCTTGCAGTGTAGTCCACTGTACGAATTCCGTTAGGTGTTGACTATCTTCTCCGGTCATCCTGTCCACGCTGTCAAATGCTTTCTCGTAGTCAATGAAGTTGATGTACAGTGGTGAGTTCTATTCAATTGATAGTTCCATAATTATCCGTAGTGTCGCGATTTGATCGATACACAATCGATCCTTTTGGAATCTATCACGCTGATCTTTTCAAAGTTGAGTGTCTACTGAATTCTCCATTCAGTTTAACAACACTGTGTTGGAGGCAGTAATGCCTCTGAAGTTCTCATCCTTGCTGAAATCTCCTTCCATTGGTATCTTGATGAGTTCTCCCTCTTTTTAGTCTGTTAGCACTTGCTCCTCCTCCCAAATCTTGCTGAACAGACTGGAACATCTTTCCAGCTACTGATATGTCTGTTTTCAATGCCTCAGCTAATTTATTGGCTGGTCTTCCCGGTTTACCACACTTCATTTGTCTGATGATCTTGCTGATTACTTCAATTGTTGGTGGGTCAGCATCAATAGGGAGGTCTATAGGTGCTGCCTCAATGACTGATGGGTTCAGAGAGGTTGGTCTAATCAATGGATATTAATCAGGAACATTAAATGATAAGCTTGTAAATAAAAGTTCGAACGTGTTAATTAAGTAAGTTCTTCTTCTCGAAGTCATATAACAAAGAGGCCTAGAAAAAAACGTCCTTTCCATTGAATTATGAGTAATTAGTAAAATTTGAGTTAATTCAGGGTAAGAAAGGTAGATTACGTCTGAATTTTTATGACTGCAAAATGACAACGGGATATTTTGAATGCAAAGATTTCCACAAAAAATTTTATCAGTGTAGAGAATTACACCGTACGTACGTATATTAGCACAAACGGGTATGAACGCGGATGTCCCTTCCTGGCTGCCCACATCATGGAAATGAGAAATACTATTTATGTATATTTTAAGTATACTCTCCTAACGAAGCTGTAACATAATCTCTACACAGTTTCCTTGTATATTCAAAAGATTTTCTCCCGTTTGAATCAAGTAATAGCTTTGTTTACAAGAGAATTGAAGGTTTGCTTCGTCTATTGTGTGTACCAATCAGTTCGTGTACAAACGAATTCTTTCGTGAACACACAACAGAACTGAAATATATACCATCCATTTTTACACATAAATACACATCAAGAGTTCAATATGCTTTACATAATAAATAAACATACAGTTAAGATATTCACCAATTATCCTAAGAGGATTATTTGTAAGACTAATTCTATTGGTCAATTTCCTATTGGTCGTCTTAACTATCAATGTCATATACTTCAAATGTTGTTTCCTATTCGACCTAACTGTATAAATATGCATTATCTGTAACGCTTTAGGACTCCGATCCTTACTCCAGGATCCGTAGCCTCCGAATCAAGCACAGGAACCAATAAACGGATCATCCCAACCATACATAAAAGACATATCGGAGCATACAGCACGACTACTGAAACCATTTGGAATAGGTGTGTGGCACACAAACCAACAGAATCACTTCAATCAATCCTATGTTGTAGACCAAAGGACAAAATGGCAAAGGAAGAAAAACCAAATATCATCTACAAAACAAAATTGCTCAGACTGTGAAAAACACTACATAGGACAAAGTGGACGACCTCTTCAGCTCCGGTTACGTGAACATCAATTAGCAGTCAAACGCCAAGACAACGCTTCGGTTATATGAATACACACCGACAATTATGGACACACATTCGATTGGAATTGGTTAGGGGGAGGACAAAGAACACTAGAGAATTTTTAGAAGCTTGGCACTCAGGTCAATCAGCAATCAATAAACACATCGACATTGACCCAATTTATCAACTAATCAGAAAAATCATATGTGACATAGGATCAAGAAACAGATCAAAAGGGGGATGCAATCAAAACAAAGACAGGTTTAAGGTCAACAGTAACCAATCAAGATCGAGGTTAGCAGAACAAGCTACAGGTCAAACGTGGAGAAATTCGAATATTTCACTTCTATTTGGAGTTTGTGCTGATGATGATGTTGTTCAGAAGAACAGCAATGAAAGCTCTACAACCAAAACATCCAGTTCAGAGAACCAAACACCACCAACCACAATCCGTAGCCGCTTCTGTACTCGGGCCACGTACTTTCTAGATGCTTGTAGAATACACATTCTACTTCATATCACATCTTCTTCTTCTAGTTAATGAGGGTTTAGGACACTCGGATTAAAGTAACCTGTCATGTCGCCGGATCATCGACCCTCACTCTTGTTTACCGAGTAAGGTAGAACTCGTAATAATAATAATAATAATAATAATAATAATAATAATAATAATAATAATTCAAGCATATCCAGTGACATAGTAAAGTTGCACTCGTAACACATAAAATATAATAATTTTTTACAAAAAAAAGAGAAAAAGTAAACGAGGAAACATACATCACTAGGTTCGGAACTATTTGAACGACGTCGACTACTAGCTTGATCTTGTTCCAATGCATGTAGAACATCGAAATCCGATGATTTCACATGAACAACATTATTTTTTGTACCATATTCATTATCTACAGTTGGCTAGTATAGTACAGAGAAAAAACAAAAATCAATAAACAAGATAATAAAAACAGTTGTTATTAATGAAATGTTTGTGAGAATATGAAGATTACATTACGGGGTTGTGAAGATTGTTAAGTTACACATTTTTTTGAAGAACCATGAATCGATCAATGTTAGACCACCATTAGAGAAACCTGGAAGCACTGAAAGGCGACCGTTTCGTCCTGGTATGGGATTCCTCAGCAGTGCGCATCCACGACTCCTGCACCCCATACCAGGACGAAACGGCCGTCCAGTGTTTCCAGGTTTCTAATGGTGGTCTAACATTTATCGATTCATGGTTTCAAAAATGTGTAATATGAAGATTAGACAAATTGTTGCTATAATCATCATCATCATCATCATCAAGATTATCAACTAATGAATAACAAACACTGAACTGTATGATGAATATAGAGAACAGAAACACAAACGAGAAAACATCAATCGGAATGAATTGTTTTTGAAAAAAAAACTCTAAACGAACACAGTTGAAACAAGGAAAAGAGTGTAAAAACAACTTCTTTTTCGTTTCAACTTGAGAACAAAAAACAAATAAACACACATACTCACTCACCTTTCATAGGGTCAAAATGTTAGCAAGCCTATGGAATCTAATCAATCAGAGGAGAAATAGAATATAAGATTGTTTGTTTTCAGGCAGAGTTTTGAACGTTTGTGTTTTTTTTTACACATCGGAAATCATCAATCAATCAATCATTGTTACTAGACTACACCATTAGGAACATGGAAGCACTGAAAGACGGTCGTTTCATCCTGGACCACTCTGATTGATCAAGGGATTTTGCACGACCTCATCCATTTTGCTTTAGCTGTTCATCAACGGTTGTCAGGATTTCTAGAGCCATCATTTAAGGCATTCGGTTTCCTAGTAGGAGGAAGACGCCTTAAACGAAAATTGTTCTGTTTTTACCTTAAGTATATTTGATAGTGGGACATAGATTGGATTTAAGCATGATTGCGTTGTGTTGCACGCTGATTGGCTCTTTCGTATCCAATCAGCGCTAGCCAATACTGAGGCAACATTCTAGAATCTTCTCATTTAAGAAAACTATAGATATACTAACGTCTTTTTCCTTTGGACCTTTTGTCTTTCATCTCACCTTGCTATTGGAATATAATCTCTTTCCCTATTCAACCTTGTTCTGATTCTGGGAGAACGTCTCGAGTGAATTAGTGGCCAAGAATACTAAGCATTAGGAATAGCTGGGTTGTATGTAATAAATCAGTGACAGTGCGCATCCACGACTCCTCCTGCACCTCGCACAGGATTCGAACCCGGGACTTTCGGTATTGTGTGTGCGAATGCCTAACCATTGGACCACTTGGCCGGCATTGTGTTTCTGGTGGGTATTTTTTTTCCAGTTCAATGTGATCATTTCTTTTTCGAAAAAATTCTTTGCGATTTATTCACAAAAGAATGTGATTATCGTTTAGGATAGAAAGACAACAGTGAATATAATTCACAAAAAGTGTCCATTTTTATAGTGTCTTTCGGACTTATATTCTTCACTATCTAATTATGATTTACACACTTCTTATTACGTAATAGTCATTATGTTTTGGTGATGTCTGTTTATCCACATTCGTCCTACTATTTCCAATGTTAAACTATTAACAAACATTTTGTTATTGTATTTTATTATTCTTACTACTACTTACTATCAATACAGCTTGTCTTCCTACAATCAACTTGTACTTTTGCCCAATTATGTGTGTGTGTGATGACGTAATCTACATTCCATTGGGATTATTAACACATGATAAATTGTCTTGATTAACATTGTTTAACATTTTCAAAAAAATATCCTTATATATATATATATATATATATATATATATATATATATGTTCGAGTAAAAACCTGATGATATTCGAATTGAAAGCAATATTGTTCGCTAACATATGTTATTGTCTATTTTAGGTGACGACTTTATTAAGTCACTATTACTCAGACGAGACAATAACACTTATTGTATTGAACCATACTACTAGATAGGGATGGCAGATCAGGAGAGATGAGGTATTGAAACTTCATCAGTCGAGGTGGTTGGGATATATGTTGAGAATTCCCAACCACTGACTGCCTCGTCGAGCTATTTTTTGCGGTGTGGAAGTAGGTTGGAAGAAACCTAGGGCGGCGGCCAAAACATGGCACGAATCCTTTAGGTCACTGACTTCTCGATTGAGTCATGTTAGTAGGCGCAGACTACTTGGTTGTGGTGCACAACATGATAGTAACCGATGGTTAGAGACCTTGAATGACATGGCTCAAAATCGTTTGCAACGGCACAGGTACATCCATTCTTTGTGTTCTCCCAAATTCTAATCTTCTGAATTCCTTGTCAACTTTATATATTTCTCTTCTCAAGTTTATTTCACTAGATTCTACTTCTTGAATAATATCCTCGAACTCTAATCTCTCCAATTACTACTAATACTTCTACTACTTCTACTACTATAGGATTTGAATTGACAATTTGAACTGTCTGTGCTGATGTGGTATGGCCACTTGAACTGATGTACGTATGCACCAAGTTCTACGCTGTAACTGACTAACTGATTGATATTTTGATGTAAATTAACGACTCGAACCCAATAACGCCCACTTCAAATACCAACACGTAATTTACGGAGCCCAGAGAGTGAATAACCATGCTTAATAAATTCGAGGTGTAGATCAATAGTAGTGAAAGTCTGAATTATTTCATTGCTGGTATTTAGAAATGAATTTTTGGCCAGTGTTTGTTGGTATTTACACGTATCATGTGGGGATTGTTTTGATGAACAAGTGTCAATAAAGATTATTAAAAATTCACTCATTTATTATAACCCACACTACTAATAATGATTTAAATAGAATATTCAACACATGACTAAAAATTGTAATATATGAATTCAACTGTCAATATTGGAGAGAATCAATGACATTTTCAATTGGTCCAATCTACTGTTTCATACAGTCAGTCACTCAGTCAGTTGCAACGTAGAACTTCGTATGTAAGTACATCAGTTCATGTTGCCATACCACATCAGCACAGAGATATAATTGTCGATTCAAATCCAATAGTAGAAGAGGTAGTCAAGGTATTAGAAGTAATCGGAGAGGTTAGGATTAGAAGATATTATTCAAGAAGTATGATTCAATGAGATAAGTTTAGAAAGTAAAAAGTAGAGGTGTTGAAGAACCCAGGAGATTAGGATTTGAGAGAACACAAAGAATAAATGCACTGGCGCCATTGCGAACTATTTGGAGCCATGTCATTCAAGGTCTCTAACCATCGATTATTATCATCTCGCCGACCCCAACCAGGTAGTCGACAACTACCGACATGGCTAAGTCCACTCGTCATTGACTTCATGGATTTCTGCCATGTTTTAGTTTGGCCGACCCTTGCTTTCTTCCAACCTACTCCTCCACTACAAAACAAAGCTCGACGAGGCAGTCGGTGGTTAGACATACGCAACACATGTCCCAACCACCTCAACTGATGAAGTTTCACCACTTCATCTATTGATCTGCCATTCTTACCTAGTACCCGTTTCCTAATAAGAGCGTTGCTCACTCGAGTGTCCCACGATATACATGTTTACTACAACAAGAATTATTTTATTTTTATCTATTCTATACTGACTACGTTTATTTAAAAGTGAAACACACTTGCGTCATGTGCCTATTAGATCTGTGTAAAATAGTTCAGGTCAATAATTTGACTTGTTTTATGTTCATGTTCATTATTGCTGACCTCTAATGATGATGATTATGATAACTAGGTTTCAGAGAGAGAGCATAGTAGTTAAACTAAGTTACATGACAAATATAGGAGAATTTTTGTAGTTTTTTTTACAAACTAGAGAGATCAGCATTAATCACCAGTTTATATGGAACAATATCCAACTCCAACATCTCCATTATTCTAAGTCTGTCAGCGACAAAGTAAAACTCGGTACGTATGTACGTACATCAGTTTAAATTGTCATACAACATCAGCACAAACAGATCGAATTGTCAATTCAAATCCCATAGTAGTAGAGGTAGTAGACGTATTAACGGTAATGGAGAAGATTAGGGTTCGAATATATTAGTCAAGAAGTAGAATCTAGTGAAATAAACTTGAGAAGAGAAAAATAAAGTTGACAAGGAATTCAGAAGATTAGAATTTGGGAGAACACAAAGAATGGATACACCTGAGTCGTTGTAAACGATTTTAAGCCATGTCATGTAAGGTCTTTTCTAACCGACACTTACTATGATCCCGTGGGCCCCAACCAAGTAGTCTACACCTACTAACATGACTCAATCGAGTAGTCAATGGTTTCAAGGATTTGTGCTATGTTTTGGTTTGGCCACACCCCTAGCTTCCCTCAAACCTACCCCTACATCATACAACGCTCATCGAGGTAGTCAATGATTGGGCATACGTAACCCTAACCCAACCAACTCAATTGATGAAGATTTATCAAGGAAATCAATAAATCCAGTAATAATTTCAATATAAATTCGTAACGGACTCGGAATTCAAAATCTGAAACAATGACTTTACTCCATTGAAGAATATATCATACAACAATCAAGATTTAAGAAAAAATCAAAACCATTATTTCACTTGCCACTCACTCACTTTAGTCGGGTCATGATACCATGCTCCATCTATAAAATACTTATATTGATGAGTACCTGGTTTACAATCGATAATCACATAAACTCCTGAGTTTCTATGAGAAAAAAAGAATACAATAGGAATAAAATGGTAACATTTAGAAACGACAACTTATGTATATATAGTCAGTTAATTATATATATGTATATATATATATATATATATATATATATATATATATATATATATATATAGTAGCAGAATCAGTATTAGTAGTATAAAAAAGAATATGCATAAACAATATCACACTAACAGAACAAACGAATTTATAAGTTGCGTTAACCTAAAAGCTCAAGATCTTAGGGGACACACAGAATGAATACATCTAAAGTAGTGCGGTTGATTCTGAGCCATGAGATGTCTTAAACGTCTTAAGCCAAACTAAATTACAAATATTATCAACTGAAGGAATATACAAATAATTCACCAAACATGCCCCGACCGTAGCTGCTACCTTGACGTGGTGGTCGGGCTTGTCTATCGCCATGACATAACCGAGCTATACTGGCTGGAACATATGTTCCTGAAGGTTCTACCATGCCAGGTTGGTCGGTTGGAGAACGATCAGACTAAAAGTAGCTACTCAAGGTCTGAGGGAGAAGTTGTACTGCTGACTGACTGTAGAGGGGTGTGACAGCAGTAAGGTGTTTCCCTCAGACAACCAGCATCTGCAGCGATGCTGCCTTCTCACAAGTAAGGAAGGGTTAGAAAAGGTCGACCCTAAGAATGTCACACCTCACCCTACCTCACGGATTTCCGTCTCCGGCGGTAAGGGTGGCCAAGAGCTTTCAAGATCGGAGCTAGTACTCAAAAAACTTTTCATAAAAAGGCCGTGCGTGACCGGCCTCAAACACTTGTCCCTTATATCCATAACAGCACGAGAGACCGAATTGGTCGAAATCTGACTGACTGACTAACTGACCAAACAGACTCATCATCCAGTAGTCCAGAGATTAGGCGTTCGCGCGCAAAACCGATAGTCCTGGGTTCGAGTCCAGCGAGGTGCAGGAGTTGTGGATGCGCACTGCTGATTAGTCCCACAGTACGACAAAACGGCTCAACGGTGCTTCCAGATTTCTAATGGTGGTCTAACAATGACTAATTGATGATTTCAATGTGCAACTAACTAATAATAGTAATGTAATAGTAACGGTGTATTTTTAGGAAGTACGCAACATAATGGAGTTGTAACTTTCAAAAGTCATATGATGACATTATGCATAATTTGGAAATCTGATTATATTATGTGTTATATTTAACTAGGTGTTACACATATCTTTTTCTCTTCTAAGAACTTCAAACAATTGAAGTAGCACGTAATTTTGTCAATAAACGACAAGGTAGAGATAAGTTTAAGTTTTGCAAATCAATTTATTGATTATAGCATCACTAACATTTGGTGAAGATTATCTCAAGATTCAAATGTAACTATCATCATAAATTGTGATATCCAATAAAGATTCTCATTAAACGGTTGTGTTGAGTTTCATTTGAAATCATGAATCAATGAAATTCACTATAGAAACAATAAAAAAAGCTTGAGAAATACTGTCCGTCATAGTCACATAACACATACACAATACAACATAAAGCTGAATCAAGAAGATACAGATCTGTAGACAAGCACAATTTGTGTAAGTATACTCTGTTGAGGAGTCCGAAAAAAAAATACAAGACCATAAAATGGTTGTCATCCTTTAAAATGGATTTTTTTTGTCTAAAAAGAACTTCATGTAAACAATGTTCAGTCAGTTACAACGTACATATTCATACGTACGCAAGTACATCAGTTCAAGTTGTCATACCACATTAGCATAGACCGATCGATTTGTCAATTCAAAGCACATAATAGCAGAGGTAATAGAAGTATGAGCAGCAATCATAGAAGATTAATGATCGAATATATCATTTGAGATGTATACACTAGAGGAATCAGTTAAAAAGAGAGAGAAAAAAACGATCATGAAGAATTCAGAAGATTAGGAATTGACATAAGCCAAACAATCATTGTTAGACCAACATTAGAAACCTGGAAGCACTGGACGCCAGTTTTGTCCTGGTATGGGGCTCATCAGCAGCAGTGCGCATCCACGACTCCCGCACCTCGCAGGACTCGAACCCGGAACCTTCGGTATTGTGCGCGAACGCCTAACCATCGGACCACTGGGCTGGCATCCAACGGTGTTAATGTATAACTCTGATTGACCTACGGATCTTTGCGCGACCTCACCTATTTGTCTTTGGTAGTTACTGCCTACACCCAACAGGGTTGAACTCCATTGGTCACGTCTTCTCAACTAGAACTCCGAGAATTTCCCCACGAAGCTAGTCACTAGTGAGCACTGTTACGATATTTTCGGGAAGAGTTTTGTGTTTTTACACATTTGAAATCACGCAAAATCCGTAGATCAATCAGAGTTGGACATAAACACCGTTGGATGCCGGCACGGTGGTCCGATTGTTGGGCGTTCGCGCACAATACCGAAGGTCCCGGGTTCGAATCATGCGAGGTGCAGGAGTCGTGGATGCGCACTGTCACTGATGAGTAGTCCCATACCAGGACGAAACAGCCGTCTTTCAGTGCTTTGAGGTTTCTAATCGTGATCTAACAATGATTGATTGTTGGTTTCAAATGTGTAAAAACACAAACCTCCAAAACTCTGCCCGAAAATAAGTCAAACAGTGGTGAATGCGCCTGCACCAGTGCATACATTTTTGAACCATACTAAAATATTTTGTACAGTTAGCGTCAATTTAAAAGAAAACCATAAATTACAAATATACCAGAATACAGTAAAAATCATTTACATAAACATATTGTTTACATTCATTCTCACTATAGATGAATACTATTCACGAAACACTCCATCGATGACAAATCTAGAATACTATAGTCAAAACTAGTATTCAATATGGTTTTAAATTAGTACTATTTGTATATTTATCCAAACAAATATTGGATTTTAAGGCTTGAACAACCACCAACAACCACCACACACACACACCTTGCCTTATTTACTTAAATTTCGACAATGTCAAGGTGGTTTCATGAATCAAAACAGTTAAGTTATGTAAACAATTACTTGAATAATAATGACAATAATAATAATAAACAGGCTATTCATTTCATTGTTCGCGCTTTAATTCACAGCGATTCTACACACGCGAACACACACACACACCGAGAGAGAATGATCATCTTTTCAAATGGAATGATTGACCGAATCAATCAATCGAACATTAAAAAAAGTATACAAAACTTGATCAAGTTAGACACTAACACCGTTAAATATCGGCTCAGTGGTCTAACGGTTAGGGCGTTCGCGCACAATACCGAAGGTCATGGGTTCGAATCCTGCAGAGTGCAGGCGGAGTCGTGGATACGCACTGCTGACGAGTCCCATACCCGGACGAAACGGCCGTCTTTCAGTGCTTCCAGGTGTCGTCTAATGGTGGTCTAACATTGATCGATTCATGGTTTTTCAAAAAAATGTGTAACTTAACAATCTTCACAACCCCGTAATGCAAAACTTGAAACAACAATACTCATTTTTACACATATGAAATGTATGCAATGAGAAGATAAAATGAAGTAATGTCTAGACAAATCAGCGTATTGTTCATATAATATGCAAAAATAAAAAGTAATACCTTTTTTTATTGAATTTAAATTTTTGTTTAAATAAATAAATCAAAAAAAAATACAACATAAAAAAAACGATTAGAATTTATGACCGTATTAGGTCAGATCGAAATAATATGTAAATTACTATTTTACATATACATATATATGCATACGTATAATAAATAATGTTTTAAAATTCTACATTTCTCTCTCTCTCACTCTCTCTCTATGTATGTACGTATATAAGAGAGTTCATTATACTCACTATACAAAAAAATATCTTATCATTCAATGTTTCAATTTGAATAATAATACATAATTCAATTCGTTTATTATCATTATTCTACAAATAACTAAAATCATATCATATCTAGAATTGATGAATTCAAATTTAAATTAGTTAGTTTAGTTAGTTCGATTTAAAATTGAAATTAAGAGTCCATTATTGTTGTTAGACCATACCATGAGAAACCTGGATGCACTGGTATGTAGGACTTGTCAGCAGTGCGCATCTACGGCTCGAACCCAAGGCTTTCAAGTCTTGCAGGTGAAAGCTTAACATCTGAACCAATGAGCCCTCTCATCCAACTGTGTCAATATCTAACTTTGATCAATCTAAGGATTTTGCTCAACTTCACAACCAATTGCCTTCGGTAGTTACTACCGATACCCGATAAGGTTGAACTCCACTGGTCACGACTTCGCACTAAAACACCGAGAATTTCCTCACGAAACTAGTCACTAGTGACCACGTTTTACGATTTTTTTACTGTATAGTTATGGAGATTGTTATCTATTATTGAAATCATAAATCAAGACATGACCATTAGGGTTCAACCCTGTCGGGTGTAGGCAGTAACTACCGAAAATAATGGGTGGTGAAGTTGCGCAAAATCATTAGATTAATCAAAGTTAGACAATAACATTGTTGGATGTCAGCCCAGTGGTATAGAGGTTCTGCATTTACGCTTAGGACCGAAGTCCTGGGTTCGATGGTCAGCACTGTTAAAAATACCCATACCAGGACGAAACAGCCATTCAGTGCATCCGGGTTTCCAATGCTCGTCTCACAATGGTTAATCCATGATTTAAATATCAAACAACAATCAGTCAGTCAGTTAGTCAGTTGCAACGTAAGAACTTCGTACGTATGTACATAAGTTCATGTTGCCATACCACATGAGCACAGAGACGCAAATGTAAAATCAAATCCCATAGTGATAAAGATTGTAGAGGTATTAATGGTAATGAAGAAGACTGGGGTTTGAAGATATTATTCGAGAAGTATAATTCAGTGAGATAAGTTTAGAAAGACAAAGGTAGAGGAGCTGACGATTCCAGAAGATTAAAATTTGAGAGGGCACAACGAATGGATGCACCATTGGATGGATGCGCCATTGCAAACGATTTTGAGCCATGTCATTCAAGGT